CCTTGTACAACATCCTGGACAGAGTGGCGCAGGGGTCTCCTGGCGTTACGGTCAGGTCTTGGGTGGATGATGTTTCTCAAAGAGTGGAAGGCCGATACAAAAGAGTTCTTGGATTAGCTTTGCAAGCCGGCTTGACTTTTGCAAAAGGTTGCTCTGAGGCCGGTTTGGTGATATCGGCAAAGTCGACGATCGTCACCAACAATGATGGGCTAGGCAAGGAATTGAAACGAGGCTTCGCCAAGGAGGGCTTCGAGGTCAAGATCGAGAGTGTCGCCACCGACTTGGGCATCGATCGAGGTGCGGTTGGTTTTCGGCGTCCGAAGCAGGCACAGCGGCGAAGAGGTGCTCAGCAGCGTTTCACTCGCGTCAAGCGGTTTGCTCAAGGTGCTGTTCGTAAGAAGATCGGCGCAAAGCTGGCCATGATGGGAGTTCTTCCGATGGCTGATTACTCTGACACTGTCTTTGGAGCGGCTCCGTCGGTCATCAACGGTTGGAGGAAAGCTCTGGGACAGACTCTGGCAAAGAAATGGCCAGGTCGTTGCCTCACCACTCTGTTACAACTTTGTGTCGGCCGCAAGGACCCTCAGTACCAGATCGTGCACAGGCTGGTGGAATCTTGGATGTCCATTATCTTCAAACCGGGCTTCGATCTAGAGTTGGCACGTCGTACATGGAGGACGGCACGAAGGCGAATTGACAACAGGGCTCAGAAGGACAGATGGAGAGGCATCACTGGAGTGGTATCTGCAACTATAGCCACGCTCTTAGACATCGGTTGGGATCCAGTGGGGCCCTGGGCATGGATTTCCGATCTTGGCGAAAGGTTTATGGCCCCAGACCATATCATCGGTCAAGGTCCCCAAGATATGAGTGCCCTAAAAGATGCCATCTCTGATGCGATCGACCGTATGCTTTGGGATAAGGCTTCGCGGCATTGGAATGGCAAAGGTCTAGAAGAGGGAGCTGACGTTCGTGAAGCTCGACGTCACCTCACAGCTTTGAAGAAGAAGGGCGAGCACGAGATGGCAGGCGCTATCGAGACTGTCATGACGGGAGCTTCGTGGACACGCAGCAGGATCTCGACCCTGAGCAGCAGCAATTTGGACACCACCGACTGTCAGCGTTGCAAGTGTGGATTGGAAGAGACCGATTTGCATCGTAGTTGGTCGTGTTCTTGCAACGAGTTGTTCTCGTCGGTCTCTGCGAACTTGCGTAACAGGGCTCACCAAGATTACGAAAACCTTCCCTGCCTTTGGTTGAGGGGCATACTGCCTGCTCCTTGGACCAAGGTGGACGAGCCGACAGACAACCCGTATGATGAGGTCATCGGCCATAAGGAGGATCTCAAGAAGCACGATCATCTCTTGGTTGGTGGTGATGCGTCAGGGGGGCTTCATTCAGCAGATGCTAGGTTGCGGCGGATTGGCTGGTCATATCAAGTTATCAAGGTGACCACCGACACCGACCTAGACGTCCAGCTGTTGTTCTCCCGAGGCGGCGGTATCCCCAAGAAGCAGACCATCAACCGTGGCGAGACGACGGCCTTGCTTAGGGCCGCTGAAGATCTGCTCGACTTAGGGGTCCCCATCACCTTCGTCACGGATTCGGGGTACGTGGTCAAGGGGCTCCGCAAACTTTCGCAAGGGCGGCTTCCGACTACGAACCTGGACCTTTGGCTGCAGGTCAAGGACGTGGTGGCACAGTACCCGTCCTTGCTCAGCGTCGTCAAGATCGAGAGCCACATGTCTGTCGAGTTGGCCATCCAAGCTGGGACGCAGATCGAACACTACCTAGCTAACGCCTTAGCTGATGAAGCGGCTGGGTATTGGGCAAAGGTGGTGTCTGTTCCTAGCTCGGTAGCAGAGTCCTTGGAGCACGCGGAAGCAATCGGTCGTGCTGTCCGCAAACACTTGGCCAAGGCTTTTCTGGCGGCGGCGGAGGCGGAGCCCAAACGTTTCCGTCCGACGAGGTCCATGGCGAAAAAGTTCAGTCGTCGTGTCAAGTTGTCCGAGCACCAGGTCTTCACAGGCATGGGCACATCTTTTCATTGTTCGGCTTGTGGTTGCAGCGCGAGTGGTCGCAAGCTTGAAAGGTTCTTGGAGACGGCCTGCTTGGGAGGAGTTCTCAAGGGCCACATTCAGAGAGTGGGAGATGTTGGAGTTCACGTCCAGGGAGTTCCGATTCATGAGTCCCACCTCTTGGGTTATTTCAAGGACTTGCAGATCCGTGCCTGTTTGCGTTGTGGGTGTGTTGGCAAGCATTTCCTTCGCGGCTTGGCGACTGAGTGTTCTGGTCAGCTGGGCCACTACGGACATCAGAACTTGGGCAAGCTGGCCCGCGGCATTCTCCCGAAGGGGCGTGTGGCGTTTTGCAGCAAGCAGCCCGAGCAGATCGGCACCTAACTTCGTCGTGCTGATCATTTCTTTTCGAGGCCTTCTGGTCTCCTGGGCGTCTATGTGTATCATGGTATAAGTCCTACAGCTGCCTCGTCATGGAGTTTGGTGTCGCCCGTGGCTTCGCTCGACGTCTTCGAGGCGCTGTTTTTTTTTTTTGTTTTTTTTTTCCCCCCTGGGGGTGGCTCCTCTCGAGACCCCAGTGAGTGCGCCTTCGGGCGCCTTTTATTTCGAGGACTGCTTCGACATGCACGTCTGCATCGTCGAGGCGCGTTTATTCCTGGGGGTGGCTCCTCTTGAGACCCCAGGTGGCTGCCGCATGAGTGCGGCCGCCCGTCCTCCCCTCCTTTCCTTTCCCCTCGTCTTGCTCCTCCTCAGGGCTTCGGTGCTGCGGCGGAGGGAGGCTGCGGGCCGCGGAGTACTAAATACTCCTCCTCCTCCTCCCCCTCCTCCTCCTCCTCCTCCTCCTCCTCTTCTTCCTCCTCCTCCTCCTCCTCCTCCTCCTCCTCCTCCTCCCCCTCCCCATTCTCCTTTTCCTCCTCCTCCCTCTCCTCGTCCTCTCGCCTCCTCGTTTTCGCTTCCCCTTTCCGCCCCCCTGCCTTCGCCAGCTGGTCCATCGACGCATCGACCCCCAAACTGTCCAGCGATCGTTGATAGGGGCCCGATTGATCCATCCTGAGCAGGGCCGCGCGGGCTCGGTATCAGCGCCGATCGCCGAGGCAGCGGCTGTGCATTGCCTGTTCCGGGTCGACGTTTGCCCCCTGAGCCGGTTCCCCCTCGGATCTCCTTCTCGTTAGGCTGAGCTGAATCTCCCGGCGGGCTTTGAACAAATCGGCTATTGATGTGAAGCCCGTCCTGGAGAACGGGCCGGGGCTTCCCGGGACCCCGCGTTGAAAGTGTCAGTGCATCGGGTCTTGTCACCGTAGCCATCGTCATCGTCGCCGCCAGCGGCGACGCCGGTTCCGTCGATGCCAATTGCGTCGCGCGGAGGAGCGCGCGTGGTGAGCGCGCGTGGGGGATGGGATGGGGCACGGGGGGGAGGAGGAGGGGGAATGAGGTGGAGGAGGAGGAGGAGGAGGAGGAGGAGGAGGAGCAGGAGGAGGAGGAAGAGAGGAGGAGGAGGAGGGGGAGCAGGAGAAGGAGAAGGAGGAGGAGGAGGAGGAGGAGGAGGAAGAGAGGAGGAGGAGAAGAGGAGGAGGAGCAGGAAGAGGAGGAGGGGGCTGAGCGGGGAGGGGGGCAGAAGGGCGCGGAACAGAAGGGAGGAGGAGGAGGTTGTGGAGGGAGGAGGAACAGGAGGAGGAGGAGGAGGAGGAGGAGGATGAAGAGGAGGCAGAGCGGGGAGGGGGGAAGAGGGGCGCGGAGGAAGAACGAGGGAAAGGAGAGGGGAGGACACCTCTCTCATCTCCTCTCCGTTTGCTCCCCTTACAGTTGTCCCCGGGGGAGGCCTGTAGGCGCCTTGTCAGTTTCAGGTGCCTTGGCCTCCTCTCGTTCTCCTCCTGCCGCCTCCCCGTGCCGCCTCCCCTACCTCGCCCCCGCGCCTCTCAGCTCACACTGATCGCAGGTCCCCCCCCCTCCGCCCCCCCCCCTCCGACCCTCCGAGGCGGGGATTTCTCCGTGAGCACCGCTTGGGGGGTCGATTTTCGGGGACCTCGGCAGGCGGAGGATACGTATGCACCCGGATCCTGGGAGGGCCACGTGTTTCCATATCCACGGCCACGTGGATGGTGATGATGATGATGATGATGATGATGATGATGATGATGATGATGATGATGGTGATGGTGATGGTGATGGTGATGGTGATGGTGATGGTGATGGTGATGGTGATGGTGATGGTGATGGTGATGGTGATGGTGATGGTGATGGTGATGGTGATGGTGATGGTGATGGTGATGGTGATGGTGATGATGATGATGATGATGATGGTGGTGGTGGTGGTGGTGGTGGTGATGGTGGTGGTGGTGATGGTGATGGTGATGGTGATGATGTTGATGGTGATGATGATGATGCTGCTGATGATGCTGGTGATGGTGATGATGATGGAGATGACGATGGGGATGATGTCGGTGATGGTGATGATGATGGTTGTGGTGTTCATGTTGATGATTCGATGATGCTGTTTATTATGGTTATGATGATGAGGATGAGGGTGATGAGCATGATGATGCTGATGATGAGGATGCTGATGATGCTCATTATGATGATGATGCTGATTATAATGATGATGCTGATGATTATGATGATGATCATCATGGTTACGATGTTGGTGATGATGATGATTATGACGATGCTGTGTATTATGAGTATCACGATGATGGTGATGATCATGATTATGAGTATGACGATTATGATGCTGAGGCTGATTATGACCATGATGATGATGCTGATGCTGATGCTGCTGCTGCTGCTGCTGCTGCTGATGATGATGATGATGATGATGATGATGATGATGATGATGATGATGATGATGATGATGATGATGATGATGATGATGATCCACCGCCAGTTCCCCCAGCGGTAGTTCTGGATCACTCTCCGCCCCTCCCGGGCCCACCTGGCACCTCGGGCATCCGTATCGACCCCGAGCGCGCCCGCCCCCCCCCAGAGGCGGCCGCGCTCATGGCGGCGTCGCCGGAGCCGTGCGAGGAGGACCTGGCGACCTCCTCAGGGGCAACGTTAGGGGGGGATATGGGCTGAGGGGGGGAAAGTTGCTGCGGGGGGGAAAGTTCGAGGTTAGATGTTTTTGGACGTCGTCGTCGGTTCTCCGTGGCCTTCTGGGCTTCGGGGTGCCTTCCAGCGGCAGCGCCTCGCACAGAGCGTTCCGGGGGTGCCCGGATCGTTCAGGGGGCAACGCATCGACCCCCGATCGCCGATTTATCGCGTCCCCATGGCCCCACCCCGCCGGGGAGCGAGCGTGGGGCTGTCGCGCCGATCTCTCTCGAATTTTGATCGCATGTTCTGGGCCGCTGCTTGCCCCCCTGAGCCCGTCCCCCCCTTACGCAGGTGGCGGAAGATCGGAGAGACATTTGTCAGGGGAGCAAAAAAAAGGGGAGGACGATGAAGGCTGGGATGCGAGAGCAGGAGGCTCAGAAGGAGGAGCAGCAGGTGGGCCGAGGAGCATGGTGCAGAGAGGGGTGGAGGCTAACGGGGAGAAAGGCCGATGAGAATGCAGAGAGAGAGAGAGAGAGATAGGATAAGGCCGACCAAGAGGATCAGGAGGAGAGAGAGGACGAAGGAGCAGGGGGGAGGCGGACATGCGAAGGATGGGTGCGGAGGTCGGATGCCAGAGGCAAGGAGGTCCACGATTCGAGCAACATATAGCAGATTGCATAAGCATGATCGTTGGGAGCTCTGCGTGAGGATATCTTGGATCGGCGCTGTACCCCCTCCCTGCGCCCCAGGCTCCTCACGATGGTGGTGTCACCGATGACGATGATCCTCACGGCGTGTGTTGGCCCAATGTGTCATGAACCCCGTTCAGCTCCACCGATGGCACGCAGCTCATGCCAGCCCCCAACTGCACCGCCCGCGTCGTATCGATGGGCTTTGGTGGGCGAGCACGCGCTGGCGCTGACACATCCCGAGGACCATCGGCGATTGCATATATGCCCCTGCGTTTCCATCGAGAGCTCTGGGGCGCGGCGGAGACCCCGGGCAGGACGACGAGGTCGGCTCCGAGGAGGCCGAGGACTACGAGGGGGAGGAGCCGTGGGGCCCTCTCCGACGGTCGTCGTCGTCGTCGTCGTCGTCGTCGTCGTCGTCGTCGTCGTCGTCGTCGTCGTCGCAACCATCGTCGTCATTCGTCGTCGCCGTCGTCGTCCGTCGTCCACGTCCTCATCCTCGTCCGTCCTCGTCCTCATCCTCGTCCTCGTTGTTGTCGTCTTCGTCGTGGACGACCGCCGCGAATAGGAGGAGGAGGAGGAGGAATAGAAGGAGGAGGCGGAGGAGAGGGAGGACGAGGAGGAGGATGAGTTGGAGGCGGAGGAGGAGTTGGTGAAGGAGGAGTAGGAGGAGGAGGAGGAGGAGCAGGAAGCGGAAGAGGAGGAGGAGCAGGAGGAGGAAGTTGAGGGGTTGGAGGAGGAGGATCAGGGGGAGGGGGAGGGGGAGGGGTTGGAGGAGGAAGGGGAGGGGGAGGGGGAGGGGTTGGAGGAGGAAGGGGGAGAAGGTCAAAGCATCTAATGCTTCCAGGGTGTGGTTCGCCCACTTTTGGCGGCCTCGCTGGGCCCCCCCCGGGCCCCCCAGACAGCCGGGGATTGTCCGCCCTCCCTCGACCTGCTCCCCCCCCCTTCCCCTATTGTGGGGGCAACCAGGCCGGCGACATTTTGTTGTTAATCGTCAGCACAAGATGTTTTTAACCGCTGCCTCCCATGCTGTTCATGCAGTTGTTTGATCGTCTAGAAGAGCCCGTCGCCGCGTTTTTTTGTTTGCGACGCCAAGGCCCGAGGGCCTTCCGACCTCCCACCCAGGAGTACGTGGAGGTCGGCGGGGGCTCGGAGGAGCTCGAGCCGCGCGGGCCCACGGGCGGCGACAGCAGCGATGACGAGCAGGTCGACCGGGACCAGGCGCGGGCCCGCCCTACGGTGGGGACGCGCATTAGGAAACCACATGCTTTTCGCCAGGGTGCCCTGGGTTTCTTTGCTCGGCGCCCTGCGCGGTGACCTCCAGCGCCCGTTGACAGAGCTGCTGCGTTCCGGGTGCTTTGGGTTCCCCCCACTTGCGTATCGCGCTTGCGGGTTCTCAGGCTTGGGTTTTTTGCGAGGGTTTCTTGCGGCCGCGCTCGCACTGTGCCTGCCCCAGCGGGTCGAGGAATGAGAGTCGAGCATCGAGGTTCGTGGTCCGAGGGTCGAGCATCGAGGTTCGAAACTCGAGGCTCGGGCTTCCCCGCCTTCGCAAGGGCCCTCATGGAGGCCCCCGGACCCTTCGATCCTGCTGCGCCCCCCCCCCCCCCCCCCCAGGGGCAACGTCAGGGGCCGGGGTGGAGGGACAGGCTCAGGCGGGAAGCACAGTTTCAAGTTCGAGGCTGGAGGCTTTCTGGCGTTTTCGTCGCTGCGCAGCGGTTTTCAAGCCTCTGGGTGCTTTCCAGCGGCTGCGCCTCGCCGAGAGCGTTCCAGGGGTGCTGGGATCACCCCGAACGGCTTCGGGAGAGCCGAGGTATTGCCCGAAAGCAAGCGAAAGACAAGGGTGGCAGTCTCAAGGAGTCCGCATCGAGGGAGGAGGAGGAGGAGGAGGAGGAGGAGGAGGAGGAGGAGGAGGAGGAGCATATAGGGTCCCGATAGCCCACCCCATCTAGGAGCGTGCGGCTTCGGTATCTGGGGCCTGTCGCCAATCTGTCGGCGATATGTCGCCCATTCCAGGTCGTAATCCCCCCCCTTCTGAGCCAGTCCCCCCCCCCTTCACGCCAGTCGCTGAAAGTAAGTAGATCTGGATTCCCAGAGCCCAATCTCTTTCTAGCGCCCTCCTACTTCAAGAATCGGCATGCTCATGCTGTGTGTCGTTGTTCTCTGGGAGGGCCTGGACCCAGTCACATTGATCCGCCTTCATTCACGTTTTTGCCCAGTCTTTCCGACTGCGGGCAACTTTCTCCGTCAACCCCAATCGGGCCCGCATGTAGGCGCGCGGGTCCTCATTGACCCCGAGATTTTGGCTTAAATCGGGCATGCCCCTATATGGGGACGACATGGTTTGACGAATTTGACGCAATGTTTGGGCAATTTCAGATTATGAGTTTTATACATCTTTATATACATATGTATATATATATATATATATATTATACACATGTATAAATGTATATCTATAGGTGTACGTATATAAAACATACAATGTCCACGTGTAGGAGGACATGCCCGACCTCAATCTTGGCACGGCAATCTTTCCCCATGCGTCTGCGCCCGGGGTCGAGCCCAGGGCCACCACGGAGCGGTCGTGCGCGAGAAATGCCGCAGGAGGATGTGGGCCATACGCTTATGGTGTTCCAGCCCGCTGTAACCTTGCTCAACGGAAAGAACTTCGAGCACCAGGAAAGTACAGTCGGCCCAGATTAGTAGGTCGACCCTGCCAAATCAAGGGTACCCTTGTATCCTGTGTCTCGCGACCCATGCTTCCTACATTCCTCCGGCAATGTGGCCCTCGGAAGGGTCTTGTGTCCTCTCGCGTGTCCTGTCCAATCGAGTCCGACCGTACCGACATTGGAGTGTTTTCACGTGTCGGGCTTTGGGATGTGGTCTTTAAGTGCGATGGGAACAACATAATCTTACGTTGGGAGAGGGGGGTTGCGTACATTGGAGGAGGAGGAGGAGGAGGAGGAGGAGGAGGAGGTCGCGGATGAGCAGGAGGAAATTGAAGATATTGAGGAAGGAGGAGGGCTAGGACGAACAACGGCGTTCCTCGGAGGTTCCTCGGGTTTCCCGGGTTCCTCGAGTTCCCCGCCCCCGATGCCTCCTATTGTTGCGTTGCCCGTTCCTCGGAGATCCCTCGGGGTCCCTGGCTTCCCTGGCCTTGTAATTTGAAGTGGTTCCTCGGGTTCCCCGTTCTTGTTTCTCGGGCGACCCGGCATTGCAAAGCAATGCCAAGCAACGCCAAGCAACGCCAATGAGTGCAAAGCAATGTCAACCCGTGCAAAGCAATGCCACGCACTGTCAAGCAGTGCCAAGAAATGCCAATCAATGCAAAGCAATACCAGGCACTGTCAAGCAATGCCAAGCAGCGCCGATCAATGCAAAGCAATGCTAAGCCATACAAAGCAATGCCACGCGATGTCAAGCAGTGCCAAGCAATGTCAAGTGAGGCCAAGCAATGCCAAGCCACGCCAAGCGATGCGCCAAGCGATTCGCCCATGCAGTAGGCCTACCCCTAATTGGGGTCGCGCCGGGTTCATCCTGTCTGTTCGATTCACTCCGCGTTGGCCGAATGACCGCCCAGCCACCAGAAACCAGGAACCAGGAGGAGGAGGAGGAGGAGGAGTATCGAGTATCGAGCTATACGACGCAGTCGAGAAACACACTAAAGGCGGCTTCGCTGCTCAGCTTTGCTAAGAAGCTTAGGCCACTTCCCCTGGTCAATCCGATCGAGGTACTCACCTCGATGCGTGGGGATCTGGAAATCACATGGCTTCGAGAGTGCACGATTCTGCTGGCTGCCGTATCGACCGCAGCCTCTACAAAACCACCCAGCCAGGCACGGGAGGTTTTGGACACCTGCCATCTCCGCAGCCGAGGGCATCGTCTCCCACGGTGCGCAGGGGTCTCTGGGCGTCTTTTTGCACATCGTGGTTTTGTTCGAAGCGTCGACACCCCAGAGGTCTCGGTCCCTCCGGTAAGGGCCGGCTGGAGCCGTTCCGGTGATGGCTCCTTTGGGGCCAGGCGGTGGGTCCCCTAAGACCGAGCGCAAAAACAACAAACTTCCGCCGCGTTGGGTTGCACCGTGCGAGAAGGCCGTGTTGGGATGCAGCTCTTGGAAGGTTGCCTGCAGATTCGGGCAGCGCTGGTAGCTCCGCTGCAGGCGGCCACCACCTAGCCTCACCCCGCGCACCGAGAGCCAATCCGGCTCAGTCCCGGCCTCGCTTCTCGGCCCGATCTGGCTTCGTGCCCCAGTGGTGTCGGCCTCAGGAGGAGGAGAGGGAGGAGGAGGAGGAGGAGGAGGAGGAGGAGGAGGAGGAGGAGGAGGAGGAGGAGGAGGAGGAGGGAGGAGGAGGAGGAGGAGGAGGAGGAGGAGGAGGAGGAGGAGGAGGAGGAGGAGGAGGAGGAGGAGGAGGAGGAGGAGAGCAGCCCGCAGTCGTCTGGCACGAGGGCCCCTCCCGGGAGCTGCCTTTCGGAGCTCCGAGGCAGCGCCTGCCCCTGCTCTGCCGGTGGACGGCACGGCGCGCCGTCCCCGCTTCCCCCCGCGCTCCCCCCGGAGGAGCTCCTGCAGCCGGCCTGCCTCGCCGTGTCCGGCCCGCCGCTGCCGCCGGGCGCCGAGGCGCCGCGGGACGCCGACGAGGAGCCATCGCGGGGGGGGCGGGCTAAAACGACGCGAAGATCGGGCCAAAAGCGGCTCGGGAGAACTCGAAATCTCCGAGAATCGGCGGGTTTGGAGGATGTACTGGGCGCCGCGGCCGCTCTGAGAGCGTTCCGGAACGCTCTGAGAGCGCTCCGGAACGCTCTGGAGCGATTTCTCCCGATCCTAGCCTTGTTTTAGGCGGGCGCGCCCAATACATCCTCCAAACCCGCCGATTCTCAGAGATTTCGAGTTATCCCGATCCGATTTTGTCCCGATCTTCGCGTCGTTTTACGGGCGCTGCCAGAGGTGTCCCCGGCCCAGAGGAGTCGGCGGAGCGCCCCGATAAGGGGGAGGGGGAGAGGAGGGGCGGGCCACCTCGGGAGGCTCGGCAGCCGCCCTCGGGTCTTCCGAGGAGCGCTCGGGGCCTCCCCGCCGGAGGCACGGAGCGTGTTTCGCGAGGCCGAGGGGGGCGCTGTCTCGGAAGGCTTTGCCCCCTCTCACGTGCATACCCTGGGGCGCGCCGCCGGCGGAGGTGCCCCCCAGAAGTTTCTCACGGAGGCCTCCACGGCCTCCAGAGCTCAGGAGAGGAAAAAACACACAGACACAATTAATGTTCGATTCCTCAGAAAATATAGGAAAATATATATGGGAAGTGGGGGGAAGACAGAAACCCAGAAAATATGCGAAAATATGGGGAATTGTTTTATTTGTGTGTATTTATTTGTGTGTCCTGGGGCCCCTTCAAGGGCACCCTTTGCGAGACCTGGAGGGCTCCAGGTCAAGCAGTGGCGACGCGTCCTGGCCTGCCTAGGGGCCCACCACAGAATGTTCTGCGAACCTCTCGTGGTCTGCTCGAAATGTTCTCAGAGCACGTTCTGCTGAGGCCGCCCTGTTTTGACACATCGGCGCGATAGTCTAAGAACGTCTTGTTACGTAGCACCCCGCAGATGCGGAGGAGAGTGAGGGGGCGGTGGGGACGTCGGCAGTCTGCGAGACTCTGGAGAGGCCCGCCGCAGGCGCCAAAGTTTCACAAGTTATACAACGAGCCCGCCGCAGGCGCCGATTTTTCGTTAAACCAATGCGGGTAGGTCGCGGGTGGTTCGCAAATGGGTCACGGCTGGGTCGCGGGTTGGGTCGCGGGTGGGTAGCTGTTGGGTCGCGGGGTGGGTCGCGGGGTGGGTCGCGGCTGGGTCGCGGGTTGGGTCGCGGGTGGGTCGCTGTTGGGTCGCGGATGGGTCGCGGGGTGGGTCGCGGGTGGGTCGCGGGTGGGTCGCGGGGTGGGTGGCGGATGGGTCGCGGATGGGTCGCGGGTTGGGTCGCGGGTGGGTCGCGGGTTGGGTCGCGGGGTGGGTCGCGGGGTGTATCGCGGGGTGTATCGCGGGGTGTGTCGCCGGGTGGGTCGCGGATGGAACGACGACAACAAACAACACAAGCAACGCAACGAGCAGAATCCTCACCACGGGTCCCCACTTCAGCCACGCACCCAGGGACAATGAATGACCGTTCGGCCCCCTCCTTCTGATCGAAGCATATTGTCGGTCGGACATGTTTCGCGCAGTCGAGCGGCAGGCCTCGAGGATTCTGGGGACGGCCAATCCGTGCTCGACCGGGGGCTCTCAACATGCAGCGGCACGCCGGAGACACCTCAGTGCAGGGGCGCCGTCGGGGACCCCCCTGTTGTGGGCAGCGCCAGGGGGGCACAGGCTCGGGGGGGGGGGCGGACGTCTCGTGTTCGAGGCTCCAGCGAAACGGTGTTTTGGCGACTTCGTTGGCCGTGTTCGTTTTGGTGGCGTGCCGCAGCAAGGGCAGAACGAACGCAGAGCGAAGGATCACGAGCGGTTGTTGAGCGATGTGGGCTTCCTGGGGCGCCCTCGGAGCGGTCCTGGGGGCCTCTTGGATCGTGGTGGAAGTCATCTCGGTCCATCGTCGGCTACCTTGAGCCTCGTTGGGGGCCGTCTTGGAGCATCGGACGCCCTGTACCATCGTGGGTGAACATTTACCCTCCGACACCTCGCGGAACCCCTCAGAAGCCTCAGGGAGGGGAGGGGGAGGTTACCCCTCCCCGAAGGGAAGAGGGGGGCTGGAAGAGATAAGGCATCGTTAGATCGTCTTAAGTACGCCCACAGGGCCGGCGGGAGCCGACTCCTGGAGGTCGGGGCGGATCTCCTGCCTGTGTCGGCGCTGGGCCCCTCCTCCTCGCACCCCCCTCCAGGGGCGTGGCGAGGGAGGGTCGGGCGCCGGCGGCCCAAGACACCCCGTGCGGGCCTCCGCACGCTGGTGGCCACGTCGTGCTGCTGCTCCTCTCGAAGCCTGGGCCCGGTGGAGCCGTGCGCAGAGCGTAAAACGACGCGAAGATCGGGACAAAAGCGACTCGGGAGAACTCGAGATCTCCGAGAATCGGCGGGTTTGGAGGATGTATTGGGCGCCGCGGCCGCTCCAGAGCGTTCCGGAACGCTCTGAGAGCGCTCCGGAACGCTCTGGAGCGACTTATCCCGATCTTATATAGCCCTGTTTTAGAGCGGGCCGCAGTCATCGCCGGTGCGGGGTCGCGCAGGCTCGTTTCGCAACGGTGCGCGTGCGAGCCAGAGTCGCAGGGCGCGCGGGCTTGCCGAGCAGGTCGGCTGCGGAACGCGCAGGGAAGGACCTGGGGGGCAGCTCGGAGTGCCCGCGTTCCGCCGTAGCCATGACCAGACCGACGCCGCCCGTTTGCGCGATGCGACTGGCCCCCCATCTATGGACCCCCCATCAACTCACGGCCAAGCGGCGTCGTGCCTCCTGCCCCGCGGCGTAGACACCGTTGGAGGTCTCGGCGGGGTTTTCTCTCGATGGTCTTGGGGCCTGGCTTCGGTCCCAAGTCATGGGAGCCTTGTGTACCCTCTTGATTCCGTCTTTAGCGTCGATTGACGTCTGGGAGTCGATGACATATGGCCGATTTAGCGTCGGTTCGGGTCGATGAGCGTCGATTAAGCGTGAGTTAGCTTCCACCAGCGTCGATTCGCAAGAGTTGACAAGAATGTACGTGGGGCCCCCATGAGTTGCCACCGAACCTGGCGAAGGCCTCCAGGAGGCCGAACCGGGCGTTTCGCAAGAGCGAGACGAAGAAGGGGGGAGGGGGGGTGGGGTTCGCAGGAAGGAAGGCTCCTGAAGGGGTCCCCTTGGGCCCCGAAAGTGCGTGAAACCGTGAGATCCGACGAGGCGGAACAATCGCAACAAAGTAAAAAACCCACGACCAGAGCCCTAGACCTAATTTGTCCTAGCCATGCAGCCATGCCTCGAGCAAGATCGAAATGTGATGGTCCCAGGGCCCACAAGTGGACGAAAACGCCCCGTGTGAAAAATGCAACGCCTGGATCTCCAGGAAGGTGCCTTTCTCTTCAACCCTCCGTCTTCATTCCCCCTCACACGAAGCAGCGCCCGACTGAAAGTCGCGATGAGCCTTTCTCGCCCGCCCGCCCGCCGGGAAGCCCCCGCCCGCAGTATCTCCGGAACGTCCAGTGGGAGCGCATGCACGTGCCCGAGACGGTGGTGGCAGAGGTCGACGAGCAGGCCGCTTTGCGGCACCTTGGGAGGTTGTGGACGAGAGGGGAGGGCAGAGTTCGATGCTCGTTTCGGGGACCTTCCTGGAGCCCACCTAACGGATCTGTTCGACCCCAGTTCGACTCAAGTTCGTTTCAAGTTCGACTCAAGTTCGACTCAGGTTCGACGCAGGTTCGACTCAGGTTCGACTCAGGGTCGACCCAAATCGACTGACGTTCGACGCAGCTTCGACGCACGAGTGGAGCGAGTGGCTCCAGGAAGGTCCCCAGAACGAGCATCCAAGCAGAGGCATGTCCCAGAGCTCCCACCAACTTCGTGTTGCTTCCTGCACTGTGGGGGGGGGCAATCGCTGGACACGTGGACTTTCAAACAACGGCTCGGGATAGGGTACAGCACCGATGGGGAGGCTGTTGGGACTCGAGGGGGGGCCACCTGCAAAACACGACGCATCGGATGAACACATGCCGTTCTGCCTCGAGATACGGGCGTTGCAAAATTTGTTCACCGGACGTGCTCACACTGTTTCGGGCCCTTGAGCCATCACATATCGATCCGGCGGAGAAAATCTCGTAGACAGATAGTTCTGGGCTGCGGCCGTGATGTCTCACGATGTTGCGTGTTTGTGCACCGTCGGATCTCAGGGTGGAGGCGGGCGAAGGGTAGTTGTGCAGGAGGGGGAGGAAGAGGAGGACAAGTGCAAACTCAAGAAACACCAATAATGCTGCAGCTAGCCCTCCCCCCAAGTTCCATTTTTATGATGGGTCAATAACTGACCTTTCGTTGCTGGAACTGCCTCATTTGGAAGACAACCGTCTGAGAATCCTCAACTCAACTCCTGGGACTTCTTCGCCGCGGATCAATGTGACTGCTGTCTCCTGACAGACCTCGTTCATGCAACTGCGTTGTTGAAACTTCAACTCTGCGAGTCGACATGATCGTGACGCCTTGGCAACCCTAAATCGTGCCAGGGCACAATCTCTGGGACTTCGGGCATACGAGTCCTCGAAGCCGATGCAGACTTTGAGCATAAAGGTGCGCGGTGCTAAGGCAAGAGCCATACTGTAAAAGGACCAGCCATCAACCCTTGAAGCAGTTGTAAGTTTTCCGACGACTGCGCGCGAGAGCGTTATTTTGAACAGGGCCCGCCCTCCATCTTTGAAGCGGTTGCAAGCGGTTGAGACGAATGTGCGCGGCGCTGAGGCGAGAGCAACATCTTAAATCAATGTGTGCCGTCCATTGTACAAATTGTTAAGGCGAATGTGCGCGGCGCGAAGGCGAGTGCCACATTTGGAAACCACCCGCCCTCCGTCGGTGAAACTGTTCCAACTTTCAAGTTCCAGGATCATGGCTGGTGAGGAAGTGTCAGGCGAAACGCCAAGCCCGCCATACCAACACGTCTAGGGGTGCAAGAAGGAGGAGTTCGTTATGGAGGAGTTCGTTATAAGGACAAGGGGATGGTGAGGAGCAGAAGGAGGACGAGGAGGTGGAGGAGGAGGGAGGATAGGACAGGAGGGGTGGAAGGAGGAGGGAAGAAGCAGGATAGGTCGGTCGGACTCGGCATTGCAGCAGTCTGCGAGCCGTCCTGTTTGAAGCTCTCACCCCGAGAGCCGATGGGGTGCACGCAGCAGGGGCACGTACCCCGTCAGTATCACAATGACCATTCGCAAGTGGCCATGTCGGCTCAATCCCTGCGATGCTTCCCGTCGATCCCTCCTTTCTTTCCGCGCTGAGGCTTTTCCAGATCTTACAACAAGCACACACCCCGTGCCATTCTGGCAGACAGCCCGTCCCGACCCCCCCCCCCACTCACGCCGCCCCCAATGCACCCACAACGACACCACCCCCACGCGCTCCGACAGAAGCCGCACCCCAAACCGGGGAATGCGACATCGGGATCAAACTTCGACCCTCTCCACGCCGTCTCGGAACCAGTTGCATAGTCTGGGGCATGGGGGCCAGGGGGGGGGCCGCGTGCGCGGGCAGCATTGGGGGAGGGGGGTGGCGGGGCGTGGGCGCGGTGGCGTGGGTGAGTGGCGCGTGGGGTTGGGCGGAGCGCGCGCGCGGTCGCACGTCCACATACATACACACTCACACAACACACACACACACAGCACACAATACACACACACAACACACACACACATGCATGAAGACACACACACACACACACGCACGCACGCACGCACGCACGCACGCACGCACACTCACACGAACACGCAGACAAACGCAGCCACGCACACGCACACACACACACACCTACACGCACACGCACACGAACACACTAACACACACACACACACAAGCACGCACGTACGCACACACGCACACACACACACTCGCACACGCACACGCGCGCACACACGCGCACACTTACACGCACACACGCACACGCACGCACACACACATACACACACATACACACACACACACACACGCACATGCACACGCACACGCACACGCGCGAGCACAAGCTCACACACACATTCACACACGTGCGTCAGGGCGTGAGTGCTTGCGCGTGTGTGTGTGTGTGTGTGTGTGTGTGTCTGTGTGTGTGTGTGTGTTCGTGCGTGCGTGCGTGCGTGCTTGCGTGCGTGCGTGCGTGCGTGCGTGCGTGCGTGTGTGTGTGTGTGTGTGTGTGTGCGTGTGCGTGCGTGCGTGCGTGCGTGCGTGCGTGCGTGCGTGCGTGTGTGTGTGTGTGTGTGTGTGTGTGCGCGTGCGCGTGCACGTACATGTGCCTGCGTGCGTGCGTGCGTGTGTGTGTGTTAGTGCGTGCGTGCGTGTGTGTGTGTGTTGTCGTATGTGTGTGTGTTGTGTGTGCTGTGTGTGTGGTGTGTTGTTTGTGTGTTGTGCGTGCGAGTGTGAATGCCTGCGTGCGCGTGTGTGTGTGCGTGTGCGTGCGTGCGTGTGCGTGTGTGTGTGTGTGTGTGCGTGTACGTGTACGTGCGCGTGCGCGTGCGTGTGCGTGTGGGTGCGTGTGCGTGCGTGTGCGTGCGTGTGCGTGTGTGTGTGTGTGTGTGTGTGTGCGTGTGCGTGTGTGTGTTCTCCGTCCTTCTGCTGTGCGCGGGGCCGCGACGCCAAACAGTGTATATGTGTGTGGGTGTGTGTGTCTGGTCGTGCGTGCGTGCGCGCGTTTGCGCGTGTGTGTGTGTATATGTGTTGGTGATGTTTTGTGCGTGTGCTAGACATGCAAGCACGCGCACACGCACATACACAGACACGCGCACACACGTACACATCAGCACACAGACACACACACGCGCATACACTCACGCGCACCCACACATACACTCAAGCACGCACACACGCGCGCACATGCGCACACACACAGACGCGCACACACAAACACACACACACACACGGAAGCACGCACACGCAACACACACAGACACAACCAACACACACACACACGCACACGCACATGCACACGCACACACACACACACACTCGCACACGCACACGCAAGTATATATATATACATATATATATATACACATGTATATATATATACACACATAAGTTTGTTTCGTCACACCACGCGCCACGCACCACGAATCCAACGCCCTAAGATGCAGGGGGAGGCAGAGAGGGGATGAGGAAAGGGAGGAGGAGGAGGAGAGAAGGGACGGACCCGCACAAACTGAACCAACACTCCACCACGCAGAGAAGACGGCTCACGGTCTTCCGAACGCAGAGGGGTTGCCAGAGCACGCCAGAAAATCAAAGAGAAGGGGTTTCTTGAGGCCCCTGGTCTTCTCTTTTTCGGGCAAATCTTGACCGGGGGAGAGGAGGCGAAGAAGGTGTCCTTCCAATCTCTTCTCCTCATCCCTCCTCCTCCTCCCATCTGCTCCTTCCTCCTCCGCTCCTCCTCCTCCGCCCTTTTCTCCCGCACTCCTCCTCCACCGCCCCGCTTCTTTTCCCGCATCACATTCGTCATCCTCCCTCGCCCAGCCCTCCTCCAACCTCTCTCCTCCCCGTCATCCCTCTTCCCTCCCCCCCCTTGCCCTTCTCTGGGCCGTCACGCGGCCAGTGGGAGCCGCGTGCTCTCCCCAGGCCTCCCAGCGCCGGAAGCGGGCGGGCCTGGTGAACCGGCACGGCCACCTGCTGACGCGGTTCAGCGAGCCGGAGGCCCTGTTCTTATTGCATCGAAGAAGAAAAACGGCATTGGCAAAGTTTTTGGCGCTCCGCGCGGATTTCTTGCATCCGCGCTGGGCCCCCACTGGGCGGCGCCTCCGGCGGGTCCAGCGCAGATCCAAGACATCCGCGCAGAGCGCCAAAAGTTAATGTTTACTAGTTTTTCTTGTTCCATTTCACTACGAAGGAGAGGTGTCCTTGGGGAACGTCGACGTCGACGGTTTCTTTTCGGAGGTTCTGGGCGTTCCCAGAGGTTCTCGTTCTGACGCGGCTGGACGCGGATCGAAAAGTTGGCCAGGAGGGGCCCCTTTGGAGGGGGTCCGGGGACCGATCTCGAGTGGATTCGGCTCGGGTGTTGCTAGGAGTGCCCCTGGCCCAAGGTGCCCCCAGCAAAACGCTCCATCTTGGAGCCCCTGGGGCCCTCTGGGCCTCGTGGGGGGTGCTCTGGAGGCCTTGGAAGCCTACAAGGAAGAATCCTGGAGGCACCTTGAGCCGGGGGCACTTCCAGCAACATCCGAGCTGGGGTTTTGAGCTGCTCGAGGTTCCCCCAGTTTGCAGCCTCCCGTGCCTCCGCGGGCCCCTCCTGGCCCGGGGGGAGACCCAGAGACCGGCACCCGGTTCCCTCTGGACTGTTTTCTCTCGCGGGAGGCCGTCGCTTCTTGCAAGGGTCGGGAGGAGGGCCGCGTGGGAGCAGGTAGTTATTTCAGGGCTTCGGAGGACGCGTTCCTCCGCCTTTCCTGAGATGCGACGTGGAGGTTCAGCGCCCCAAGTCACCCGCAGGGACGTGAAGATGACCGCTGCGCGGGGTCCGAGCTGGGCATTTGCGCCTCTCCATTGAGCGGCGCACGGGCTTGAAGACAACCTCGCTTCGCGTTTTGCGCAGCGTCGAGCGCGAGATTGGGCGATCTCGGCCTAATCATTCCATCTTTGCTGGGACGCGGTGCGGCAGTTTAGCGCCTCGCTCGGCAACGTTTGAGAGAATGCGGCGTTTTGCCCCGCCCTCCCACCGCCATCCCAGTAAGTTGCGTTTCCGACCCACGCCGAGCCAACAAGATCGAGAGCAGGATGCCACATAAGCAGCCTGATCTTATCGGCGGGAGATGGGCGAATGAGGCACGGGAGTGAAGAGTGAAGGAGGAGTAGGAGGAGGAGCAGGAGCAGGAGCAGGAGGTGGACCCAGAACCAGTCTCCGTCCATGTGCACGACCATAAATGCGAAACGAGACGAGACACGAGGAGAAGGATGAGGAGGAAGCAAGGGAGAGGAAGAGGAGGAGGGGGAGGACGACGACAGCCATGGAGGAGGGAGTTGGAGGATCGGGAGTGAGAAGGAAGCTCGAGGAGGAGGAGGAGGGCCGAAGTTAGCTCACGATGTATCAGCGATGTTGCTGTACACCTTCTCGTCCCGGTGTCGCGCCTGATAAGTAATTACCCTGATGCTGATGATGCTGATGATGATGTTGGTGCTGATGTTGATGATGATGTTGTTGCTGCTGCTGATGATGATGTTGCTGATGATGCTGATGATGCTGATGATGCTGATGATGATGATGATGATGATGATGATGCTGATGATGATGGTGATGGTGATGTTGATGGTGATGATGATGATGCTGCTGATGATGATGATGCAGTACACCTTGCTTCACGTCCCAAGGTCGCTCCTCACACAAACCCATGGATGCGTGTGCACCCCTCGGGAGGCGCGCCCCCTGGATTGACGAGCGCCCAGTGGGCCTGTCACGCAGTCGAGCCCCCCCCCGATCTGTAGAGGATCCACACCTGCACCCGTGTAGCTACAGGAGACGGACAGGATGTGACAATGCAGCTGAGGGACGTTCATCTCGGCCTCTTCCTCCTCCTCCTCCTCCTCCTCCTCCTACTCCTGCTCCTCCTCCTCCTCATCGTCCTCATCCTCTTCCTCCTCCTCATCCTCCCCCTCCCTCCCCCTCCTCTTCCTCCTCCTTCTCCTCCCCCTCCTCCCTCCCCTCCTCTTCCTCCTCCTCCTCCTCTCGGATTCAAACCGGTTGACCCGCGCAGGGTTCTAGGCTTCCTGGATGGGGTCGGAGTGGATGGGGTCGGAGGATCGCGACGCATCGCCGATGCATCGGCGAAACATCGGCGATGCGGCTCGATGTGGGGCCTAATTTTCCTCACGCCGAGGTCGCCGATGCATCGCCGACGTCGCCAGTGCATCGCCGATGTATCGGCGATGCGGCGAGATCCTCCGACTCTATCTACTCCGACCCCATCTAGGAGGCCTCTAGTTCAAGGGAGGAAGAAACACCTGGACCCGACAATTCACGTTTACTATACGGCCCTAGGCGTTTACTAAACAGCCCTGCCCTTTTCGATTCCTTCTGTGGGTGCGTTTGCTAAACGGCCTCGCGTGTCGGGTTTATCATTATGGCCCCATCTTTCGGGCGATAGCCAACATGGATCAAGGGGGCGTGGATTAGCAACGGGTCCCGTTTCTATGGGAAATCGCGGATTTCCGCCGCCGAGCGAGGCGGCACCGGCCGCATGCTGGGGAGGGCACCTCCCCCGATCCATGAATTTGGCCGCCGCGCGCCAGATCCATGGATCGCTAATCCATGTTTGCGCGCCCCCGGATCTTGAGAAGGGATCTGCCCTCCTTCCGTGCGAGCGGTGCACAAGTGCGAAGGTCTCCTTGTCGAAACTGCGAAGCGAAAGCAATGAATCGTCGATACCCCAGAAAATAGGGGAACATATGGGAAGTGGGTGGGGGAGACGACAACCTCGAAAATGATAGAATGTTATGGTGAATCCTGAGACTGGTATGTATTCATTGAATCGCTTCGCTCATTCCGCCGGCCCCAGAGCCCTCTGTAGGGCCTCTTGGGGCCTCTTGGGGACCTCTTGGGAGTCTCTTGGGGCTCCTTGGCGGCGTCTTGGGGGCCCCCAGGGCCTCTTGGGGGGCTTTTGAGAGCCTCTTGGGGCGGGAGGGGGGGTAGTCGATTGCGGCTCCCCCCTCGGAGGCCACGATCCTCGTGAGGGGTGTCGAAAAATGGCCCTCCCCTCGAGTGTTCTGGTGGCTTCTCCCGGGACCTTGCCGGGGTACTTGTCGTCCGGGGGCCCCCAGGGGCCGCTCCGCGCGCGCGAACTAGAAGTATTGTTAACCAGTTACCGGAGATCTCAGCACGCCTCTGGCCCGTTGGGCCAGCTAATTTGTGTGTGTCCCTGGGCCCTTTCATTCGAATTACAAGAGGCGGACAAACGTGGTGATGCCGTTGAAGGACGTGCCCAGCGATAGCCCCATCTTGACAGGGATCTGCCCTCCATCCGTGCGAGCGTTGCACAAGGTCAAAGTTCTGCTGGTCTGAATTGCGGATCTCTTCAGCGATAGCCCAAGTTCTTGAAGCAGCCGCCCCGCATTTGGGTAGTTATTGACCATGTATTAGAATTCGACGAAGTCTTGGGCGAGGCCCGCATGTTGCGAACGAGCAGTTCTCCATCCTGTCAGCCGTCGCAAGATTTGAAGACGAATGCGCGGCGCCAAGGCGAGAGCCACATCCCGTAGACCACCCCAGACGAGAGCCACGTGTTGAAACTACAGACCCTCCGTCCGTACGACTGTTGGAGTTGTTTTAGCGTCGGGGCTGTACAACGTCTCAAGCCCCAACCCGGCCTGTGTACGAACACGTATGGTGGCGTTACAGGGGCGGGTTATTATGAAGGGCGAGGGATAGAGGCTGGAGGGGGAAGGATGCGGAGGGAGGATGACAACGACAAGGACAAGGAGGAGGAGGAGAAGGAGGTTGAACGCTACAATCCGAGGATTCAAGTTGGCGCAACTTCAAAAAAGGAGGAGGAGGAGGCGGATTAGGGTGTGAGGAGGGCGGCGGCGACGACGACGACGACGACGACGACGACGACGACGACGACGATGACGGCGACGACTACGACGCGCGCGGCGAGGTGCCCGAGTCGGCCAGGCGCTGCGCCGAGTGGGCGTCGGACGCGGCGGAGGCCCCGCCGAGCGAGCCCGCCCCCCTCCTGGGGCGTGGCGCGGCGCCGTGGCGGCTCCCTCGCGGCGTCAGGAAGAGGAGGAGGGGGAGGGGGAGGAGGAGGAGGAGGAGGAGGAGGCGGAGGCGGAGGAGGAGGAGGGAGGAGGGAGGGAGGGAGGGAGGGAGGGAAGAGGAGGAGGGGGAGGAGGAGGGGAGGAGAGGAGGAGGGAGGAGGAGGAGGAGGAGGAGGAGGAGGAGGAGGAGGGAGGAGGGGAGGAGGGAGGAGGGACGGAGGGAGGAAGGGAGGGAGGGAGGGAGGGAGGGAGGGAGGGAGGGGAGGAGGAGGAGGAGGAGGAGAAGCTGGAGGAAAAGGAGGAGGAGGGAGAGAGAGAGCCTGGGCCTCCCAAATGGGGTCGGAGCAGATGGGGCGTTCCAAAAAGGGCCTCGTCTTCGCGAGTCGATGGAGTTGTCATATCTTCCTGGGCAGACGGCGACTGGAGGTCGGCAGACGTAAAACGAGGCCGCCTCCGCTGGCGGAAGCCGTCGGAAGGCCAGCGGAAGGCGGCGGAAGTAAAAGATGCACCCCAAGAGATGAAAACGCTTTTGGGTTCAGGGTTTCCGGAACCCGGCAGATGGAGTCGGAGGACCGCGCCGCATCGCGGATGCGTCGGCGATGCAGTTCGATGTGAAGCCCGATTTTCTCCACGCCGGCGGCGCCGGCGCATCGCCGATGTCGCCGATGCGTCGCCGATGCAGCGGCGCGATCTTCCGACTCCATCTACTCGGATCACAGTTCTCGCGCCGTCATCGAGTCGAGTCGAGGGGTGGGGACGGGAAGGCCAGAGGAGTGAGAGAGGGAGAGCCAAAGAAGAATAGTACATGCGACATGAGCTTCCGCCAAGTCCAGGTCGATGGTTCTCCCCCCGAGCGGGTCCCTCCCCGGCGTTGAGTCGGGCATGTCCCGCTACAGGAGGGACATTCACGATTATGATGTTCCAACCTGCTTTAGCCTTGATCACACGAAGTAATTAATTTCGAGCACCAAGAAAGAATCTCAAGGGTGTTCACTTGTCGGTTCCTGGGAGGCACTCGTCCGACACTTGTTCGACACTCATTCGACACTCTTTCCACACACTTTCCACACTTTTCCGGGTGCTCGAAGTCATTTCTGGAATGTGTTCTTTTAGTACGATGGGAGCTACATACATTCAAGAGCAGTAACACGATGTCTTGGTGGCGATATTTCGTGGCTTGTTTGACAGTTTTTCTGTTTGACTAGTTTCAACTTTCCTCCAAAGCCCTCCTGTAGGGGGGCATGCCCGACCTAACCCTATCGCTGCCCATCCGATGACGGCTGCGCCGTGTGGCCACGAGGACGCTGCGGGAGGCCCCCAGAGAATTCCCGCGGAAAGCGCTCGCCCCCAACGGTTTTTTCTTGGGCAGTGCTGCGCGGCCCGTCGGCCGAGCCAGAGCTTATTTTTGGGCAGCCTGCAGTGGGCCGGGGGCATGCGCCTCCTGTCGTCGTCGCCTCCTCATCCTCCTCCTCTTCTTCCCAAACCTCCTCTTCCTCCCACTCCTCCCAAAATTCCTCCCAAACCTCCTCCTCCTCCTGCTCCTCCTCCTCCTTCTCCTACCAAGCCTCCTCCTCTTCCTCCTCCTCCTCCTCCTCCCAAGCCTCCTCCTCCTCCTCTTCCTCCTCCTCCTCCCAAGCCTCCTCCTCCTCCTTCTCCTCCTCCTCCTTCTCCTCCTCCTTCTCCTCCTCCTCCTCCTCCATTCATCTTCCTTACACAGAACTTCTCCCTGTCGCACCCCGAGGCCAGTTTTCAGGGCGGGCCGGGCGTTTCGCCTGAGACTTCCTCACCATTTCCGGCTCTGAGGCTTAAACAGTGGCAACAGCTTCACAGATGGAGGGCGGATCGTTTTCAAAATGTGGCTCTCGCCGTAGCGCCCAGGAGGATTTCCGACCGAGCCACACTCACTCAAGCACCTCCGACTGGACCATTCCCCACAAACAACTTCCCGCGGTCAGGGCGGGAGCGTGCCAGGTGGCGGACCTGTAACCTAACACACCTTCCGCATACTGTACTAGCCGTTGCCCCACCTTTGATGTCAATTCTTGTGCCGCCGTCTTTTGAAGAATGTGCGACCTATGGTTGCAAAGTCGAGCCGAGGGGAACTTCAGAAAGGAATACTTCGAGCATGCGGAGAAGGGAAAGAACGCGACGGACCCGCGCCAGAAACCCTCTAATAGTGAAACTTGGAATCTGACATGGTTTCTCTTTTACACCTCCGACGGGGCTGCCGCAGCACGATGCGATTGTTGCAGAGGGCGAGGGCGATGGAACGGGCGAGCCGCTGGTGGATGTTGGTCAGGTGGATCTGGAGGCCGAGGGGGCTGGGAGGGGGGGGCACTCGATTCTACTGGGTCAGAGCCGCAAGGCTGCATTGAGGAGAACCTCCTTCCCAGCCCCCGAACGGTTTCGCACAAGGCGTACACATATCACTCGTTCTGCACGTCGGACATCGCAACACTACAAAACGAGAGGGCACCTAGTCACACATCTTCTGTTTTTGACGATAAGGGCAGTGATGGCAGCAACGCGCATCCCGATGTTCCAAAACACGCATGTGGACAGGACAGTTGCCAGAATTGTGAAGACAGCTCAATGGGCGACACGAGTCGGCCATCACAGTTGGAACCTGCCATATTGGAGTTAGCACGCAAATTTCTGTACGAGCATTGGGGACCCGCAGACATCGGCACATTTCCAATATTAGAACAGACAAACAGAGGATGCACACACAGTGAAGTACATTGTGCCGTGCAGTCATTTGTGCTGAAAGGGGAATTAGCGGCCAAGGGGAGAGAAGTGGTTTTTGCTTGTATGTCCGTCCGTTGTAACGAGTCTGCGCGACGACATAGAAGTGCGAACAGCAGTTGATGACGGGTAAATAATGTTCTGGCCCCAGGAAATCAGCGAGCGATGGAAAGCAACATGCTAAGCATGGCTGTCGCGTATGAAGTAAAGGAAGTGCACGACGCAGTATCGATGTGGATCATATATCGTTCTTTGCAACCGTAATAACCAATTGCAAGAAAGAAGCTCGCCGCTAGTATTTCGCGTGAGCATTTTCCATAGCCCGCAGAAGTTGCCGATGTTGGGGAGGTGGGGGGGAGGTGGAGGGCCGGCGCGCGGGAGTTCGTTCGGTAGCCGTGTCGACTTCTCGGGGAGGGGGCATCGCGAGACCTGACCTCGCCAGCCTCACTTCCCCCGACTATTCAAATTTTGTTGGACGAGTGCTTCGCCCCTCCCATCGTAGGGGGGGGGGGCACCTTGTCTGCCTGGCCTCTCCTCTTCCTCCTCCTCCTCCTCCTCTTCCTCCTCCCCCTTCTCCTCCTGTCGGACTTTTCTCCCCCCCTTTTCCCCTCAGTGGCGTGCGATCCTCTTCCTCCTCCTCCTCCTCCTCATTCTCCTCCCCTTCTTCCCAAACCTCCTCCTCCTCCTCTTCCTCCTCCCACTCCTCTTGTCTGCCCTGCGCCGTGACCCCTGCTCGCGCCCGCCGCCCTGGCAGCGCGAAGGCGGCGGGGCGCGAGCGGCCGTCGCAGGCGCGCTGCCCCCTCGGCCTGGGTCGGGGGCCGTGGCTCGCAGGTTGGAGGGGAGGCCCCCAGGGTGCCCAGTGACGAACCAGCAACACACACCCATGCCCAGAGGGGGGTCGGAGAGGCCTATGGGTGCGTGTTGTCGGACGGGGGTCCCCGCTCGAACGGGAGCGTTCCCCAGGGTCCGACAACCCGCACCCGTACCCATAGCCAGTGCTCTTCCCAATGACCCCCCTATGGGTATGGGTGTGTGTTGTTCGTTCGTCACCCAGCACGAGGGCACCAACAGCACCCCGATCCTCGACGATGACGGCGGCGACGACGACCCGCCGGGAGGCCTTCTCGGCCTTGCGCGGCCGGTGCGAGTCCGCAAGGTCCTCGGCCTCGGCGCCGCAGCGGTCCTCGAGGCTCACCTTCGAGGCTCCCTTCCCGCGCCGCCCGTTTTTCTGTGGTTGTCGGGGAGGGTTGGACGTCCAGGAGTCGGGGGGTGTCGAAGGGAGGGGGGATTATGCTTTATCTTATGCAACAGATCCTAGGGTTAAGTGGGGCGTGTCCTTCTAGAGGGGGGATATTCAAAAATGTAAAATTACCCCAGTGCGACCCTACCTAGAAGTTGGAGCCCCTAGGAAAGCAGCATTAGTTGCTATGCTATGATATGCCATGCTATGCTGCGCTATGCTATGCTATGCTAGGCTACGCTATGCTATGCTATGCTATGCTATGGCATGCTGCGCTGTGCTATGCTAAGCTATGATATGCTATGCTATGATATGTTATGCTAAGTTGCGGTATGCTATGCTATGCTATGCTATGGTATGCTGTATTGCGCTGTGCTGTGCTGCGCTATGCTATGCTATGCTATGCTATGCTATGCTATGCTGCGCTATGCTATGCTATGCTATGCTGGGCTATGCTATGATAAGCTGTGCTGCGCTATGCTATGCTACGATTTGCTATGCTATGATGTGCTCCGTTATGCTAAAGCTCAGCGAAGCTAAGATGAAGGTAAGCTAAGATAATCCTGAGCTAAGATGAAGCTAAGCAGAGCTAAGATGAAATAAGCTAAGCTAAGATGAGATCAGCAACGTTAAGCTAAGGGGACGTAACTGGGGGAACCGCTGGGCGGATGCCGGGGGAACCGCCCCTGGGCGCAATACACTGCCCGGCCCTTTCAGCCTAGAGGGTAAGAATCTAGGCAGAGCCTAGGTAGGGGGGGGAAAAAGTAGTCGGGGGAAGATATGTTTCCATGTTTGACTATGTTGGAGCAGTGTTGGACTTTTTTTTATTTATCGTCCAAAATCCGCCTGTATGGGGACATGCCCGACCTAATCCTAGGGAGGTTTTTCCAAGGGGGCTTGTCCGGTGGGGTTGTCCAGATCCCCGCCGGGTTGTCCAAGGGGTTGTCCAGGGTAGGCCGTCTTGTCGCCGCTCATCGGCATGGGCTGTCCGGGTTGTGGGGAGGGTTTTTTCGGGGATTTGTGTGATCGGATTGTTTGTCCACTGAGCTTGAACATACTGGGGGGGCGAGGACAGCACCCATGGCCACCGCTTCTTCTTGCAGCACGTCCCCGGGTCCCCCCACTCGTCCACGCACACGGTTCGGGCCATGATGTCGGTCGAGGGCCCAGGAGGGGATCGGGGGGATCGAGGGACGTGGAGAACTTGGGGGGGGGCATCCAGAGTCGAGGAGCCTCGGGCAGCATCGAGGAGCATCGAAGACGATCGCAGGACCGGATGGGATCGGAGGAAGGAGGACCCTGGACCCATGCCACACCCCGCGCCCCCCCTCGAAGGTCGAGGATCGAGACACGCGACAGCGCACGCTGTGCTCGATGAGCGCGGGTCTCTCTTGGACCCTCTTACCCCTGGACGGGCGTCTGCTTCTTCTCGTGCTCCTGGCGCCCACTCAGGCCCGTGCCTCCTCCTCTTCCTCTTTCCCTTGGGCCCCATGGCACGTGCGAGCTTGCCTAGACACGCACGGCGCTTCGGCACGGGATCTGGGGTGCGCGTCAGGGCCGCGTGCGCATGGCAGCCCTGCTGCGTTGCCGTGGCCACTCCCGTTGCCGTTGTTCTGCGTTGGCCAGGGCCTCGCGTGTTCGGCCCGCCCTGTGCAGGCTGGCCCGCAGGTGACTTCGGGCCTGACTGGTGCTTGCTGTTGCGTCGTATTGGTGCGTTCAGGTCGGGCGCGTCCCCCTGCAAGCGGAGGTCGGGCGAAACATTGAAAATACTCAAACATGTTCCAACAATGCTCAAACATATTCAAAACATCGTCCCCAGGCTATTGTTTCACTAGTTTCGATTATTCCTCCTGTAGAGGGGCAGGCCCGACTTGATGGTGCGTTTGCGGAGGAGAGCGCCATCCAGAGAGGTTTCTGGTGGCCGGGAGCCCAGGCCGACGGCAGCCGTGCTGGTTGCAGGGCGAGGGGGTATATATGGGGGACCGAGGGTCCAGGCGTAGGAGGCTCCGGGGGGTCGAGGGGAAGCCGGGAGGAGAGGAGGAGCCTCGAGGAGCATCGAGGGGCGTCGAGGGGCGAGGAGGATCGAGCGCCAAGGTTGTTCGATGCTGGTTCGAGACCTTTTACTGCCTTCGGAGGCGTTCGGGGACCCCCACAGACTCTCAGAGCGAGGGAGGGGCGGAGGAGGGAGGTCTGAGGATCTAAGTTCTGAGCGTTCTTCGTGTGGTTAGGGGCCTCGAGAGGGCTCCTCGTCACGCGCGGCTGGGTCAGCCTCGAATGCATTGTCTGGACGCGCCGCCAAGAGAAGTCCGCGGTGCGCGACTCCTGGGGGGCGATTGGGGCTTCTGGCGGCTCACCCTCGAGGCCTGCCGCTGCTTGGCGGATGATCGATGATCGATGATCGATCGGCGCCACCCAAACATACTTATACTACATCGTCGTGGCAAAAACATTATGTGGTCCGGATGCGCAATGGCTGACGGCTGGCGGTGTATGCGGAGGGGGCGGGCCAGAAATTGTTCCGAGCGGACACGCATCCAGCCCCATTGTCCACGATGGGTTGGGAGTGCTTCGTTGAAGGGGTCCCGAAGTACACGGGAGCGCAGGAGCCGCCTGCCCATGTTAGGAGTCTTCGGGGAGGTAGAGGATCTCAACATCATACCAAGCCGTACAAACTTTCGTCACGGAGGTGTGTGTGTGTGTCTCTGTGTGTCTCTGTGTGTCTCTGTGTGTCTCTGTGTGTCTCTGTGTGTCTCTGTGTGTCTCTGTGTCTCTGTGTCTCTGTGTCTCTGTGTCTCTGTGTGTGTGTGTCTGTGTGTCTGTGTGTCTGTGTGTCTGTGTGTGTGTTGCGTCGGCCCCGCAGGGGCACACGCGCGCGCTCCCAAAGCTTAGACTGCAGGCTCTGCGGCGGGCGCATCCTGGCGATGCCGCCCCGAGAGCGGCACGCCGCTGCCTGCTCTCCGTGGTGCGTGCTCGCCTCGGGCCCCCAGGGCGGGCGCACAGCACCGGCGTGCCCCTCTGCGCCCCGCCCGAGGCTCGGGGGCGGAAAAGAGGGGGGGGATGACTAGGGGGGGGGGGATATCATGGCGCGGGCCATGATATTTCCCCAGATTTCATGGCGCCTCTTCTTATTTCATTACGTCCCTGGCCCCCCCGTCGGGCCGCGCACATGCCGCCAGTCATTATTCGCACCCCCCCCTCTTTGACGCCCCCCTCTTTGCCGCTCCCGAGAGGCGCGGCGACGACGCCCCTCCGGCGGCAGCGATGGCGACAGCAGGCGGCGGCGGCGCCGGCGCGACGACGATGTCTCGCCGGCGGCTGTCGACGCCGGCTGTCGTCGGCGCTGCCGCCGTCGACGACGCCTCGCCAGCGGCGGCGCCGACGGCGGCAGCGCTGGCGGCAGCGGGCGGCGGCGGGCAGCGGCGGGAGCAGCCGGCGCAGGCCTGGCACGAGCGGTGCGCGGCGGGCGGCCCCAGCACGGCCTTCCTGGCCGCGCAGGACGGGCGGGCCGAGCCCCCAGGGGTCGAGCCCCGGGGGCCGAGGGCCGAAGTCCCGGGCTCGAGGGGGGTCATTCAGAGCCCCGAATCATCAGGGGTAACTCGGGTCGGGGGTAACTCGGGTTCGTTTTTCGGGAGTCCGAACCCGACTTACCCCGGACCCGAGTTACCCCGGATAACTCGGGCGTCCAGAGCCCCGAATCATCAGGGGTAACTCGGGTCAGGGGTAACTCGGGTTCCTTTTTCGGGAATCCAAACCCGAGTTACCCCGGACCCGAGTTGCCCCGGATAACTCGGGCGCCCAAGTAATTGATGCATGACCACCGCCCGGGGGATCGATGTTCGGGGGCCTCGAGAGGCGGTGGACGTGGACAGGTTCGGCCCCCTGGGGGCCAAACCACATCCATGTCCACCGCCCGCTGGGCCCCCAGGACGTCGGTTCCCAGGCGGTGGATATGGGTAAACCCCCACCTCGCGTTCGGGGAGAGAGGAGGAGGAGGAGGAGGAGGAGGAGGAGGCGGAGGAGGATGGAGGCGGAGGAGGAGGAGGAGGAGGAGGAGGAGGAGGAGGAGGAGGAGGAGGAGGAGGAGGAGGAGGAGGAGTATGGGGGAGGATGGGGGAGAAGGAGGAGGAGGAGGAGGAGGAGGAGGAGGAGGAGGAAGGAGGAGGAGGACAGTTGCGGGTTCCATGTCTTCGGGCGCTGCCGCCTGCCCCACGATGCTCTTCCAGCTTCGGGGCGTTCTCCGGCCGCCGCGCCTCGCCGAGAGCGCTCCGGGGACGCCCGTGCCGCCCCGAACGGCCACCGGGGCGGCAGCGAGGTCAGAAGGCAACGGTGTGGGCGTGGCAGGCTCGGGGGGGGGGCACGCACCCTGACCTTCCAGAGAGCTATTTTTTAGCACTGGAGACCTAAAAACCTAAAAGCTAAGCGAAACAGCCTAAAACCAAGACGTAGAATAGCTCTGGGATAGGTTTTTAAGTCAGGTGCTACTTTTTAGCCCTCCTGGAAGGTCAGGGCATGGACCCCCACTCGCCCTCTCCATCGCCGACGAGGGGCTCGCTGGCCCACCCCGCCCGGGAGCGAGCGGCGTCGCCCCTGGGGGCGCATCCCCGAGCTATCGGCGATGCATCGCCCGTTGCCCCCTTTCCGAGGGTCGAGGATCGAGCGCGGCAGCACGTTGCAGTCGACCCGCATGGTAAGGATGGGCAACCTTCCCGAGGTTACGTTGGCGTCCTTCTCTCCTCGGTCCATCCTTGGCCACTTTCGTTGGGCGCGCCCCGCGCGCAAAGCTTGGAGATGACCTTCCAAGGCCCTTGCAACCTGATCGTGCATCCTTGTGATACGGGTCGATTGTAGCTCTGCCTTCGGTGAGGTGGGCGTGCCTCCCACCCGACGGAAGTCCGCCTCGCCTTGCCGGCGCGCGGCGGCGTGTGTTTTGCAGCGCCTTTTGGTTGCGGTGTTGGCGGTATTTTTTCGCGACGGGGGACTGCTGCGGAGCAGTCGGCAGGGAGCGACTACCTGCAGGCTCCATTTCTCAAGCAGTGGCGAAGCGTCCTGGCTCGCCTCTTGGCCCACCACATAATGTTCTAAGAACCTTTGGGGGTCTGCACGAAGAGTTCCCAGAACGTTAATGGCTGAGACTGTCTTGTCTGAACACATCGGGCTTCTGTTCTCAGAACTGTGTTTTTGCTCTTAGAACACGATTGGGTTCTGAGAACACTTCGTGGCAGGCCTAAAGGAATGCCAGGACGGTCGGTCCTTGCTCAAATTTTCTTCGATACGATCGATCCAGATCGATGGCGGGCTTGGCCAGCACGAGGCGATCTGATCTCGACAGTCCGACCATGCGATGCCGCCCGATGCCTGCGTGGCGTTGTTGTGCATCCTGTCGCAGCCGACCCGATTCAGGTCCGACCCTGTGCCTGTGTAGTCCGATCCGGCGAAGATGTCGTTTCGATCAAAATTCCCGACTCTTGAAGAAGAAAGAACGCCATAAACATAAACTTTTGGCGCTCCGCGCGGATTTCTTGGATCCGCGCTGGGCCCCCCCCGGCGGCGCCTCCGGCGCCGCCCCTGGCGCGCTCCGCGCGCCAGGGAGGGGGGTCCGGCGCGGATCCAAGGAATCCGCGCGGAGCGAAGTCTATGTTATGTTGCTCTTCCTTCTTCTAGATTCCATGCTGACGAATCCTGCCCCTGCGCCCCCCCCAGAAATCCAACGACGACGCAGGACCAGGTTTCGAGGAGGTCGGCGAAGAGGGACAATATGGTTAACATCAATTTTCTGCATTGCTCACCACCTCCCAGAGGTATTCCGTGATACTTCATCTTGCCGTTGCAGACTGTGTGTCGCTCAGAACCAAAGGTTGCCCGGAGAGGAACAAAAAGGGTTCGAGGAGGTCGGCGAGCCCCTGCGGACCCCGCCCCCTGCGGGGTCCGGTCGACGCTGCTGCGGCATCGGGGCGGGGCCCACGCTTGCCTCCGGGGGCCCTCCAAAAATCCCGACCCCCCGCCGGCGTGCAGGGCTCGTTTTGATTCCTCCGATTCTCGGCGCGAACGAAATTGGTACCGAAAGAATGGGTACGATGCCCAACAGCAGTTCCTGTTCATTTTGAACCGGACTTGCTGTCCGCGCCGCTGCGGCCTGTGTCCATTTGAGACAGAAGGCCGCCTGCCCAACAGCGGCCGCTGTTGGTTTGGGACAACATTTGTTGTTGGGCATTGTGCCCATTTTTCCGTACCCTCTTCGGCCGTCCAAAGATTCGATTCGATTCGATTTTGACGGTTTCCGATTCCGATGAGATTCGATTTCGGATTCCGATTCGGGCTCCGATTTCTCAACGGAGGCCTAACAGGCTGCCGATTTTTCCGCCGATTCGACTTTTCCCGACTCGGCTGCCGATTTCCGCCGATCCGCTTCATTTCGATCGTCGATCCAACTTGTCGATTCGACTGTTGGGGCGCCTGCGGGGTGTCGGAAGTCTGGGCAGCAGGGGTGGGATTCACATTCAGTTTGCTGCGGGGATCGAGGACCTGCGGGTATTCCTGCGTCGGCGTCGTAGGGCGCGCCCTGGTCGTCACGGCTGCCTCCCACTCCAAGTTGCTTGGTGGGGCCCCCGGGAGCAAGGTTAGAAGGTCGATGAGGATCGAGGATGGTTATTTTGCATCTTCGGGGAACCTCTCCTGTCCTATAAACGATCGGTTTCATGTACTCGGGCGTGGGTTCGACGAGAGTTCGACGTGGGTTCGACGCGGTTTCGGCGCGGATTCGTCGCAGATTCGGCACGGATTCGATGCGGTCGACATATATTCTACATTGATGTGACACGGATGGTTTGGCACCATGCTGCGGACGAGGTCACTAAAAGACCCAATTGTGCGAGTTACGGACGGCCTCGTCGTCCTCTTCCTCTCCCCCGTTCTCGCGTCGCCCTAAAAGCGCGTCAGACCACAGCAAACCAGAGGATCTATTCACTAAGCATGGCCGCGAGGAGTGTTTGCCTTTCTCCTCCCGGGGGAACAGACAACTTCTGGTGGGCTTCCTCGTGGTGCCTCCGAGGCCTCTGTGGGAGGACCTTTTGGGGTCGCCTCGGCCTCCAGGGACCCTCCGGGGGCCCCCGAAGACCTCCAGAGATCCAGACGCCCGGCAGCTCGAGGTCGGGGATCGCCGTCTTCGATGCGTCTCCGGGCCGGCCGACGGCACCGCCCTCCGCGCGCAAGCCGCCCGCGCAAAAAAGGTCGCGCGGGAGCGCCCTCTCGCTTCCCGAGCACGGTGCTGCGCTGGAGGCCCGCGCAGGCCGCAGCGTGAGGCCGCTGTGTCGTCTCGCGTGAGATCGCGTTTGTTTTTTCGTCGCCCAGGCGGAGTCGTCGTACACCTTAGGCGATGCTTAAGAAAACCTAAGTTTTCGGCCAGAGTCTCGATTATTCTTAACGTTTCAATATAAATCTTAAGATTTTAATTGGAATGTTGGGTTGTTACTCAAGTTCTGAGACTATGAATTTCTTAACCCATGATTTCTTAAGCATTTCGCAGGGTGTAGATGTGTCGACCAGGTGGAGTCTTCGAAGATCGCGTAAGATCGCGTTGTTTTTTCGTCGCCCAGGGCGGAGTCGTCGTCGCCGACGCCGCCGCATCCGCCTGGAGGGTCCTGGCCTGGCCAGGGCGCGCCCCAGGAGAGGACCGAGGGCGGCGGGGCGGCAGGGGGCGGTGCCGGAGGGGAGCTTCGGGAGGACAGACCACCCAGACCCCGACAATGGCGTTTCGTAAACGGCCCTGGGCGTTTGTTAAACAGCCCTGCCCTGTTCGATTCCTCATCTTGGGTGGCCGTGGCGGCAGTTTTCATCGCTCTGGGTTTGCCTGTCCTCTCGCATCTTCGCTTCGTGTTTTGCGTAATGTCCAAAACCGGTTAAAAAATGATGACCCCCCCCTTCACCCCCCCGGGATCCCGACTGCCATTAATTCGCATCCGAGTAACTACTTTTTAATATGTCCCCCCTGGAAAAAAATCCATGGATGCCGATCGGTGCCACTTGTATATACCTCGGTACCAGGGAGAATGCCGATGTGACATTGTAGCTTGGTGTAGCCCCTTATGTCTAGCCTGGAGGGCGCGCCGGCCCTCGTTGTAACCTGGTGTAGCCCCGCTTGCGTGGCCCAGAGGGGGGACGGCCTTCATCGTATCCTGGTGTAGCCCCGCAACTTACGCCCAGAGGGCGGTGCGACCTTCGCTGTAACCTGGTGTAGCCTTGGTGCGGCCTCGAACTGAGTGGCTTGTTGAGGGCCTTTTCTGGCCTGGAGGGCGATCCGGCCTTCGTCGTAACCTGGTCTAGCCCCTCTCTTGTCCTGCTGCATAATATGTTCATCGCGTGTCGCCGGTCTGATGAGGCCATCTTGAGCCAATTTGGACCACATTGCGCCATCTTGGAGGCCATCTTAAAGCACTTGTGGCCCTCTCGGCACCAGAGGGCGTGCGCAAGGGATGGTCCCCAAGTGCGGTCTCTTTCCACGCCAGGCTCGGGCGTGTCAGGTGTGGCTTGTTCGCAACCCAGACAGGGCGCGCGGTGCGCAGGGAGTGGTCCCTGAGCGCAGTCTCTATACACGCTGGGGTCGCAGGGCGTGGCAGGCGCGGCCTGACGCCAAGAGGGGGTGCGCAGGAATCTGCCCTTGCCGCAGGGCGCCAGGGCGGTCGCGGGGACGTCTCCAGCGATCCAGTTTGCCCCGCCTCCCTTTTGTTTTCTGTAGGCGCATTACAGCGCTGGAGAGAACCATGTTTCAAATTGTCTCCTAAAAATAATATGTTTAACAGTTTTTAGATATTACGAGGGTCATTTCGTTAGCCGCTTGGGCTTCGTGGGATATTCGGAGACGGCACGCTCATTTCCCTCTTTCAGGCCACGATTCACTGCATGATTTTACCTATCGCAGGTCGGCTCGCGTCGGGATCCTGGTTTGCCTGGGCCTGGCGATGTGCATAGCGGTCGAGGCCGAGCAGTGTGAAGTTCTGTGGTCGCGCTCCGTCCTCTTCCAAAAAACTAGATGGTCTCCTAGTGACTGCGATTCGGTGGAGCAGGCGGAGGGGTATCTACCCCGCGTGGAAGTGCATCCAGTGCGATGAATTCCACAAGGTGGCGCGGAGCTGTTTCTGGTCCCCTTTTGAACTAGCGAGCTGATGGGATGGGTATGAATCGATCATCGGGCGGACGGGGCTAGGACGAGGATAGATCCGTTCCAGAGCGTTCCGTAAGGCTCTCAGTGCGTTCCGGGACGCTCTGAGACGCCCGAGACATCCTCCAGAGCCGCCGGATCCCAGAGATTCCCGATGTTCTCCAATCCGTGCTTGCACTGAAGGGGTCTCAGCGGATATTGAAAGATTTGGCGCAAGTATTGGACCGATTTCGGTGGGCGGCCGGGTTTCGGGCCGGGCGAAAGGGGGGGATTGGGAAAGGGGAGGTTACGAAATTTGCTGCATGCAGCTGGTTTGGGCCTCACCGAGGGGCCCATTCCTCGATACCTGGCCGCCTCCGGCGCCGGGAGGCGCCGGGAAAATCAGCTACGCGAGCTGATCCTCAAACCCCCCCTGTGCTATCCCCCCCTTTCGCCCGACCCGAGGGTTCCTGGGTGCCCGGTTCCGGGTTCCCCGGTTCCCGGTTTCTGGTTTCAGGCCGATTTCGGTGGGCGGCGGGGTCGGTGGGCGGCGGGGTTCCCGGGGTTCAATGTTTGGGGTCGATCTCGCTATCGATGTCATTATCGATCTCACCATCCATCTCATTCGCTCGATCTCACTACCGACCTTACACTCGATCACTAACGATCCCACCATCGATCTCACAGTCGATCACACTATTCATATCACCATCGATTTCACAATCGATCTCACGACCGATCTCACGAACGATATCACGATCGATCTCACGATCGTTTTCACTATCGATGTCATCATCGATGCCACGATCGATCTCACTATCGATATTTGTATTAGTCTCCTCATCGATCTCACGATCGATCTCACTCAATCGACAATCGAACACACGATCGATCTCTCGATCGATTTTACTATCGATCCCACTCTATCGATATCACTATCCATCTCAGTAGCGATCTTACTATCGATCCTGGTATCGATCCCACGATCGATATCACTCAATCGACCTCACCACTACCAATATCACTATCGATTTCACGATCGTTCTCACTTTCAATCTCCTCCAATGGATCTCAGTACCGATCGCACTATCGATCTCACTATCGCTAGCATGACATTGCATATCATTGGTAGCATATAACATAGCACGGGACATCCGCGCGCCACGGGACACCATCGGGACACGTTCGGGACACCACCGGGACACCATCGGGACACCACAGGGCCATTGCTGGCCAACCCAGGGGACAGCAACGTTTGGTTCGGCTTTGCCCTGGCAATGGCGAGTTCATTCCTCTCGCCCGCCCACTCAGCTTCACCTCGCCCGCACGCGCGACACGAACGTGAGTCCGAAACCAATATCTCAGTGGGGGGTCCGTTTCACTGCGATCTCACCCCCCAACCTCCAATATACATAGAGGGAGCGAGAGAGAGAGAGAGAGAGAAAAGAGAGATAAAGATAACCAAAGACTAATGGTAATGAAAGAATGAGGGAGGCGGAGTAAAGAGAGAGGGGCATGATGAGAAAGTGCGTGTAGCTACGTGTTGTATACATGCATGTGCACGGGAACATGTAGGGAGTGCTACAGATATATCGGTGTAGAGAGATGGAGAGAGAGGGAGAGAGAGAGGGAGAAACAGAGAGAGAGAGAGAGAACGAGCGTGCGAGAGTGAGAAAGAGAACCCATAGAGAAAAAGGGAGAGAGAGGAACATATGATACATAGACGTGACTAAGACGTATATTTGAATTGGACTAGGGCGGGGGGACGGTCGATTGAGGCACTTACGACGAATTTAAAAATCCACTGACTGCGGCTTCCTCTGATGTAATATCCTCACCCGGTGTTCTCGTCCCCCTGGTTTGTCTTCGATATTCATCGGTCGTGGAGATAAAGTGGAAACCCATGACAAGAAACCCTGCTTGCCTCCAGGGTGCCCTGGGTTTTGTGTGCTTCGATGGCTTTGCTACGGAAAGCGTTACGTTCCCACACCAACACTCCATGGACGTCCTGGGGTCTCAGGGTTGGGTTCTTTTTGGGAAGGTTTATCTTGTGGTCGAGCTCCCTCTCTATCTTCTTCTGCTGCCACGGCGGTGTACAATTGCGTCGCCGTGGGCGGGGAGAGCGGTGCTTCGGGTCTTGGAAGGCCGCGGTGTCCCGTTGTTTGTTGCGTGGCGGGCGTCCGTTGTCCAGGAGAATTCTCTGGGCAACACGTCTCGGCATCTCTCGGGCGTGCGCCCTTTTTCGACGAGGACCATCGAAGAACCTCCTCCTGTGGACGACCGTCAGTGGAGAGGAAATATGTTGCCAAATCATCTCTAGATGCCAAAACATGTTCAACGCATGTCTTAAGCATTACAATCACATGTCTTAAACATGTTTGGTAGGATTGTCAGGGTGTCCATGTTCATGACATCCACAAACCCCTTGGACCATCGAGCACAAACAACAACACGCACGAAACCGAAACACAGTGCACGGGCAATGGAACGTCCGAGCGACGGGCAAGGTGTGGGGAGCGCGGAAAACAAGGGGGGGCGGCGGCGGCCTTTTGGGGATGTTGATGACTATGTGGGGATGATGAGGAGGAGGAGCAGGAGCAGGAGGAGGAGGAGGAGGAGGAGGAGGAGGAGGAGGAGGAGGAGGAGGAGGAGGAGGGGGAGGGGGAGGAGGAGGAGGAGGAGGAGGAGGAGGAGGAGGAGGGGGAGATGGAGATCCCAGGCGGAGGACGAGCAGGAAGAGGACGAGGTGAGGGGAGCAGAGGAGTGGAGACGGGGGGGAGAAGGCGAGGTGGGAATGCCTGGGAGAGGCCCGGGATGGACAAAAAACTTGGTGATTCGACCCCTCCACGAAGGTGATGGTTGATTTCGTGGGTGCGCACGGGATTTCATCAGTCGTCCTCGTGCGCACGAGGCTAGATCACGCACGCTCACGACATCCCGCGGACCACGAGGACTTCGTGAGCCCTCGGGATTTCGAAGAGGACCCTGGACGCGCGATCTCGAGACCCCCTCGTTCTCCACGGGCCCCTGGCCTCGGCGCGCGCAGGACTTCGTGAGCCTGAACAACCTCGTGGTGGTCTCCGTGGGGAACCTCGTGGCGGCCCAGGACCTGAGGCTGCCGGAGGTGCCCCTGACCAGGGTGCCCCCAGCCCTTCGCTCCACCGTGGGGCCCCTGCAGGGCCTCCTGGGCCTCGCGCGGGGTGCTCGGGAGGCCGTGGGGCGTCCCGGGATATCGTGGGGGGCACCTTGGGCCAGGGGCACTTCTCTGGGCCTCCCAGATGAGGTCGGAGCAGCTGGGGTCGGAGGATCGTGCCGCATCGGCCATGCATCGGCGATGCGGCTCGAGGCGGGGCCCAATGTTCCCCACGCCGACGTCGCCGAGGCATCGCCGACGTCGCCAGTGACCACCGCAGAGGCACCGCCGAGGCGCCGGCGACGCCTCGGCGAGGCGTCGAGAGCCTCCGACGCCCTCCGCTCGGGCCCCCTCGCCGGGAGGCCCCTGCCAGGAGGGGCTGGCGGAGGCGCCCGCCGGCACGCCGGGCGGCGGTGACGCGGGCGCCGCCCCGCGAAGCGCTCGCTGCCGGGGGGGGGGGGCGGGGCGTGCTGCCCGGGCCGCCGGGCCCGGGCCTCTCGGGAGGGTCCGGGTGCCCAGCGGGGGGGTCCGAGGGTGCCCAGCGTAAAACGACGCGAAGATCGGGGCAAAATCGGATCGGGATAGCTCGAAGTCTCTGAGAATCGGCGGGTTTGGAGGGTGTATTGGGCGCCGCGGCCGCTCCAGAGCGTTCCGGAACGCTCTGAGAGCGCTCCGGAACGCTCTGGAGCGATTTCTCCCGATCCTAGCCCTGTTTTACGGGGAGGAGCTGCCACGCGCAGAGGGGGGGTGGCGTCGTAAAGAAAGTCAGGGCGCGAGGCTCTTGGCCATTGTCGGGCTCGGGGGGGGCCCTCGCCAGGCCTCGGGGCCGTCAAAAGCGACTCGGGGTGAAACATTGGTCCTGGAGAAAAGGTCGGGACTTCCAGGGACCCCGTATTGAAACAGTCAAGGCGTCGCATGTCTCGGTAGGGGGAGGGGGAGAGGCTTCTTAGAAGCTGCTTCTGAGACGGCGCGGGCCGTGTCTGTATAGATGCAGGGCCGGCGCCTTCTAAGAAGCAGCCTCTTCCTCTACGAAGCCTTGCCCACTCCACCTGCGTAACCCCCCTTGCGCGCGACGCCAAGGAGGGGGTTCGAGCTGGCGGGTCAGACGCGGTGTTCTCTGTTCTTGTTCTGCCCCGAGGGGCCGCTCTCGGGCCCATGGGGCCGTCGACGACGGATCTGGAGCGAGCAGGTGCACCCGAGGGGCCCGGGGAGGGGTCTGGGGGCCGATCTCTCGAGGATGTCTCTCGATTAGACGTAAGAGTGACCTTTCGCCGGAGTGACCTGTGGTGCGGGCACAGATGGGTCCCCAGATGGCTGAAAACGAAACAGCAGCAGCTGCTTGCGCGCCCAGGTTTGGTCCCCCCGCGGTCCCCAAAAAGTCGCGCACCAAAGGTCACTCTTACCCAGGGTCACTCTTGCGTATAGCCGATTCTCTTCCTCCACCCTCAGGTGGATTCTCTGGTGCCCCATCCAGTTCGGACCCCCCCCCTCCGGCCGCCTCCAAGGGGGGGGGGGCTCGTTGGCGACTTGAGATTGCGTGCAGTATCCGCGCCCTCGCGGGCCTGGCCCCTGGGCCGCGCAGATTCGGGGCGCTCTTTCGCGGGTGCCCCGCGCGCAGCGTGTCCATGCGACCGCGTGCCCGCGGGAGCCCGACTGCGAGGGCGCGGGGGTAGATGCGTTCGCCGCTCGTGCGGTGGGTCAAGGCTGGAGACGGCTCCGACACCCATGTATTGGGACGCTGCTCGCTCTTACAGTAGGAGTCCATGCCAAGAAGCACCCTACTTGCCTTCAGGGTGCCCTTGGTTTCTTGGGCTTCGATGGATTTGCTATGGGAAGCATGACGTTCCCACGCCGAAAATCAACGGACGTCTTAGGGTCTCAGGGTTGGGTTTCTTATGGAAGGTTTCTTGTGGTCGAGCTCCTAGTGTAGTTGGCCTCTGGGGGGCTCCTCGTCGGCACTCTTGGCTTTTCCCTCTCTTGTGCTGATCGCAAGCGCACTCCTGGAGAGGTCCAGGAGTGCGGGGGATTGGTGACGTGCTGCCTACACGTTGGATCAAACACAGGTAGCCCGAGGCTTTTCCTATTCAAGAAGCTTACGCCGTTCCGCCGACCCCCAGAAGAGGCGTGGAGTCTACGGTTGTGGCGTCCTGAGTTTTCTGGGCATCGTGTGGCGGGTTTTCATCGTCAACCTCCTCCTACATCTTCTACAAAAGGCTGGGGTAGAAGACTGGCTGACGCAAACGCAGTGCGGCTTCCGACGCGGACGAGGCACAACAGACGCCATTCACGCAGTGCGCCGTGCTAGGAAAAATAGTGGGACTACATTTGACGCCCTGGATTGGGGGGAAAAAACATTTGGTTCCATAACTGTCGAAGCTCTGTTGGCGGCGCTGCGCCTTTTTGGGGAGCCCCTGAGGGTGCTTACGCTGTCTGGGCATATTGATGAGGCCAGGAAGTTCTGTGCGATCGACGGGGCAATTCAGTCTTCTGAAAGAAAGCAGATGTCGGGAATATCACAAGGGTGTCCGTTGTCGCCGTTTCTTCCCGTCATGCTAACGACAGTGGTTTTGCAAGACACCGTGAGCAGCCTGAGCGAGGATGACAAGTTGGACGTGGCTTCTGGAGACCTTTCGGTGCTCTTGTACGCCGACGACACGCTGCTCATCGGGAGAAGCCCAAAGCACATCTCTTGGACAATCTCGCTCTGGCGGGGGCTCAAGTTGGGATGGAGCTGCATTGGGAAAAGTTCCAGTTGATCAAGATCAACAGCGACGTGACGCTGAGGACGCCGGCTGGGCAACCTATTCCGGAAAAAGCAGAGAATGGGCAATTGGGGGCCGAATTGAACAAGAGACTCGGGGCAGCATGGTCCGAATTTTCCAAATACGGCCGGGCATGGAAGCACACGGCGCTGACCAAGCAACACAAGTTAGTTGTTTAATGTTTTTGTTTTTCGTTGTAGGCTTGTTCTCTCAAGCGTTGGTGACGACGAAGATCTTGCATTCATTGAGCACGGCGTCACTTAACAAGGCCGAGAGGAGGTGTTCGGATGGATTTCAAGCCAAATGCTTACGGATAGTATTGCGCTTACCCCCGCCTTATGTTTCGCGACATCGGAATAGCGAGGTATTGAAACACGCCGGGCAGATGCCGTACAGCTCGCAATTTCCTCAACAACATAAGTATCATAATTTCTGGTCGGATTGGACGTGTTCCAAACACAGATTTTCTGCGACGACTTATTTTTCAGTCTGACAACTTTCGCTCAGTCGTGGATGAGCTCCAGTGGAGGCGAGGCAGACCGAGACACGAATGGGCGAAATGTGCACATTTCGGGCAAGAGCAGAAATTGTTGCCGTCCTTGCACTACCCCGCCGAATGGCGAACAATTGCGGAGAGCGTCGCGAGCAAATCTGATGGAGCCGGCTATCAGTAACATGCTTGTCCAT